CTGTGAACCTAGCCTAAAGCCCCCCATACATTTACAGATGCACTGCCGATTTTTCGGCCGTTCAACGAGTCAGCTGGCCGGTGAGTGACACAATGCACTAAACTTCCGGCTGGCTGACAGAGGAGACAGCCACTGCAGCAGACAGAGGCATCACATTACTTTGGATGGGGGCGGTGGTCGAGATTTTCGGCAAGCTATATACATACAGAGGAGTCGGAGTCGGGAGTCGGAGTCGGAAAATTTAGAAACTGAGGAGTCGGAGTCGGAGTCGGAGCATTTATATACCGACTCCACAGCCCTGGTTAGCACCCCTGGAACAAGGTTATGGTCCAATGGTGATATTATCCTGTTGACCGCAGAATATGAAGCAGTGACCTTCCAAACACAGGCCTCCAAACCCATAGAGCCACACACAAAACTCTGCAAGAGAGTTGAACACTCTCTAGCTTGAAGAGGGCTACAGAACCATTTTAAATCCCTATGTAGTTTCTCAGTCAACCGAATGACCACTGGCATACAAATGAAGTCACAGACCACAGTAACTCTACCTACATGAGGACTTCCACCAAATTTATCCCAGTGAGCAGCAATAAAAAATGCACGATTTCCAAAAGAAAAATAGGACAAAATTCCATTAGTCAAAAGTCAACAGCAGCACAGATGGTTAACCAGGAAGAAAACATCTCATCTTTGGTCTACAGAAGACCACCCTGGACAATGCATGGCAAACAAAACCAGAACTAAAAAAAATTATAATCACTGGAGTTTTATTTTGGAAGAATTCCATTCTGAAATCAAGAAAAGCAAAGTGTGTGATGTGGACATTAAGGCCAGACAATGTGGATGCTATCAAGAGGACACACAACCATGTTAAGCAGGGCCGGGCAACTCGTTTTCAAAAGGCATGCAAATTTTTGTAATATTGAATTTTGAATATCAATTATACAATTAAACTAGGGGATAGGCCTGGGTGGTTTTAAGGTAATATGGTATACTGTGGTAATCTGGGTATACCGCAGCATTTTAAAATCTTGCCAATAAGAAATAAAATTTGCAGAGCTTCCCTGTCTTTCCCCTAGCCTTCCATCAACCTCGTTCTAAACCAGGCTCAGCACCGAGGCCGTGTTCAGGCGGGCCACCCAATCATAAGGAAATAATTCGGGTTAAGGGCCTTGCTCAAGGGCCAAAAAGTGCCATCACTCTACCAAACACAGGATTACTGGTGACCTTCCAATCACGGGCATAGTGTCCTAACCAGCCCAGTTAAAAACCACCCAGTGGAGGTCAGATATAGATTTAATGAATATATGTCTAAAACGCATGCATCGCTAGAACATTTTGCTTTGACAAAGAGCTAAGCCTTGTGATTTGTCCAGAACAGACACACTACCTCCAAACAAAATTGCTCTGTATAGTTCTAAAGAGAAAGGCACCCATTCTCCGAGACAAATCCCCTGTGGGTCACTCACAGGTTATCACACAGGCCACATTATTAACTTCACTGCACATTCACATTTATTACTCATAATACCTAGGATACAAGCTTTAGAAGACATGAATGTATTTTCCCAGTAGCAAAATGACTCACAAACAATAGTGGAAAAAAAATGGGGTGGAGTCCATCGATGTGGAAATATATCATTAACTTGTCTTAGCAATTCAAATCTAAACAGCATCCGTCTATTTTCTATACGGCTTATTCAATACAAGGTGGCAGTGAACCTGGAGTTGCAGAAAACTCTGAATGGAAAGAAACTCAAGTACTCCCTGGGGGTACATAGTGACAGTAACCCACTGAATCACAAGCGTTTGGATTAGAGGAGAAAAGCTGTGTGGACATGAGGAGAACCAGCCACTCTCAAAGGGCAGTAGTCAAACTCACAAACCTTGGGGGTGAGAGGCTACAGCAGAGGTCACTAACAGGTGGACCGCGGTCCGGGTCCGGACCCACAAGCTGTCCTATACGGACCCGGACCGATAGCCAAAACATTAAGTTGTTATTTAAAACCTGACGCTTCTATTTTATCCGGCGCAGCTTTTGTGGTCTTTTCGGTAGTGGTTTAGCAGTAGAACCGACGTTTCCCACGCCAATGAACGTCAAACACCTTTAACCGCCAAGCTAGACATAGTTCAGCTCATGCAGCCCTTTGTCTGCGCTAATGTGCCATTAGTGTTAATAGCAGCAGCGAAGCTAAAACCCGCAACCAAAAATTCGTAATGTTCCTAACAGAGTGACTGGTCTGTCCTGACATCATACAGCTGAAAAGTTTTTAAATACAGTATGTATTATATAACATGTTGGATAAATAGATGTAATTTATTGTTGATTTCATGTTCGTTGAAGTTTCTGCTTTTTAACACATGTATAAAATAATGTTGTTATCTGTTATATAAATAATCTGTTATATAAACAAAAAATGTACGTTTTCATGGCTGCCAAATCTCAAGCATCTGGTATGACACTCACGCTTTCAGACTCACGCTGGAAATCTTACGGCAAATCTATATTATTCCATTATAAAACCTAAAATTAGCTACGTCAAATGTGTATTTACACGGTTAAATACAAAAGCAGACTATTTACAAGGTAAGGACTGTTACATATGTGTGCAAACATCTCGAATTGAAATCTCACTCCAGTCAGCTGGCCGAAATTCTGTGTCACGTGACAATAAATATTGTCAAAACGTTTTTGAATTGTACTGAATCAATTTGATTTGACAGTCAGGTACTGATTAAATGCAATGTTGATGCAACTAATAGACTACTTAAATATATATCACACTATATAGTTAGACATTATGATATTCCGGACCTTTGTTTCAAGAAATTTTCTCTAACTGGACCTCTTTAAATTTTAGTTGAAAACCCCTGGGCTTCAGGGTTAATCACCGAGTTACTGCATCATCCCATTGAAAACCATGCTTTATGGCTATACATAGCAGCCCACTCACCTCCAATGGTGCTCTCCTGGTACTCGTGGAACTGGCCCTTGACAAAGCGGAGCACCAGACTGGACTTGCCGACCGCCGACTCGCCGAGCAGCACCAGTTTGAACTGGCAGATCTTGTTGCCTGGAGCCGGGCCGTTGGATCGCGCCGGTCCGCCGCGAGCTGCCATGGAGCCTGGTGAGTGCTACGCCGGGCGAGGAGGCTAACGCAGGGTGGCGACGGGGCGAGAGGGACCGGGGATGGGAGGGGAACAGGCACACGCTCAGGCAAGCTGGGCTGAGCTGGGGAGCCGGGGCCGGGCCGAGCTTCTCCGAGGAGTCTGAAATGAACACAGATAAATTTCTCAGCCCCTTTTGTACCCTCGGGTCACACCTTCTGCTTCCTCTACCTCAAAATACAAACAAAGCAGTCATTCCATTACTAGACATGACAGTGGTGTCCCTATGTGTGGAAGGGCCTCACTCAGCATTCAGGCTATAGAACCCTGTGCCAGTCGCCCAGCTTTGCGCTGAAATATTCTGGGATAGCTTCTGGGTATCACATGGATTTAGGTAGCTGCAGAAATGGCTGAACAGGAAAGCTAACAAGCATTCCATTACCACTTTACTGGGTATGCCTACCAGTAGCCCACTTTTCATCAGAACCAATAAACAGTTCTGTGTTCAGAGATGCCTTTCTGCACATTGCCGTTTTATACTTGGGACCTTCCTGTTAGTTTTAATAAGTCTGGCTATTCACCTCTGACCTCTCTCACTACTATAGTATTTTTAGCAATGTAATTGTTTACCGTACCATTCTCTGTGAACTCTAGGCCAGGGGTCTCCAACCTTGCATACAGTGAGAGCTACTTTCACAAACTGACATGGTAGTAATTCATTATCCTTGCATGTCCACTCTCGTCATCAGAGACAAAGTTAAATACACATTTATATGCAAAATTCAGTATAACTATAAAAAACATTATAATCAGCGTTTGACTCCCTCCGCACTACTATGAGTTTGCGGTCAATGCATTGCTGACCACTGCTCTAGACACTGGATGTGAAAACTGCAGGACAACGGTGGCTTTGGAGAGGCTGGAACCCCCATTATCAACAATCATGTTCAAGATTGCTTAGATCAAGCATCTTAGCCATATGAATGCTTAGTCAGTAACCGAACCTCCCAACTCGTTCTGTGTCCTGAACACGAATCACTGCTTGGAGAAGCAGTGCGAACAAGTGCACCGTACAAACTGGCGAGGATTTCATCTACAGCTACGACTTCTCACTATTAAAATACCAACCATACAGTTTGAAACCAGAAATATGAGATTGTAGGAAATAATATTAAAACAGCAGACATCTACACATTTTAGTCACACATGCTCCTGAGTAGGTTCCTGCTTAAAAGTAAGTCCCTGGACACATTAGCATTTACAAAAGAAACTCCCTGTTCTGAGAGTCATACACAGCTCTGAGTGCTGGTGAAGGTGACAGATGAAAACCTACATTAAACTGAGACATCAAGCAACAATAACTGACTGCTCTTAAAGAAAACAAACCATGCGGTGCTCAGGGTGGGACACAGATGCAGAGATAGATGCTGGATGTCTGATGCCACATGTAGGTATGGCCCAGAGCTGCAGAACCCCTCACAGAGGAACCAGCTTCTGCAGGGGGGGGATCCTCACATGATCCTCTGAGCGAATCCTACGGCACTGCTGACTCAGCAACAACCTCTTCCCTTCCCATAACAACGGTTAAAAAAATCAGTAACATATCAGCAATACTGGAGGCACTTAGGGCTAAGGGAGATTATCAGCAGTGACCTGATGCGGGCTGAGAGGAGCGGAGGGCGAGATGAAATCACAAATGAGCACCGATTAACCGGACGCGTTTCCGCTGTGCCTGAGAAAAGCCTCCCGAGGGGCAAAGTCAGCAGTGCCAATAAACACGCTGCACTCATTGACCTGGAACAACATCATCAACCCCGGGGAGAGCAGGATTCAAACACACAGCAAAGTCTGCAGATGAACCAGCCGCAAACCGCAGCGCGTGACTTAGCTGTGTTATGCTAACTGCTCACATTCACGTTTCTGCAACAGCTGTAAGAAGTCAAAGAGAAATCTTACATGTATTCCATTAAGGAGGGCAACAATTTATGGGCATCACAGATACTGTGAACATAAACATCAACTTGAATTCTTATGAAACAACCGCAACAATGTTCAAATTTACGTGCTTCACTATCTGATCTAGATGTAAAATGCTTTTTCGTATCAAAACATTGTGTGTGTGTGTATATATTATACACACACACACACACACATATAAATTAATACATTTCAGCAGAATGCTGGTAACACATTAGTTAAAGCTGTCATCAAAAATACATTATTGATACCTTCATAATGCATCATAATAATTGGTATAGGAATTAATAAATCATTACTGAATTTTCTACTGACAGTCATACTGCATTATAATGTTGATTACAATACTTCATAAACTCCAATGACACTCTCATCCATAATGCATTACAGATACCTTCATAATGCATTACAATGGTCGGTATAAGCATTAAGGATGCTTTCTACTGCATTATGAAGGTTTCCATAGTACATTATAGATGAGAGCTTCTTATAGCATTCATAAGGCATAATAAACACGGCTGCAATGTGTTACGAATGTGTTCATAGATTCTTATAAAGATGGCATTCATAGAAAGTGTCACCTAAAAGAAACCATAAACATGTATAGGTGTTGTTTTTACTACTGTAATTTGAGGAAGGACTCTGGGTGAAAGTCAGAGACAGGCTATATATAGACTGCTAGTGCACCTGTACTATAACACAGCACCTATACAAACCCCTGTGCAGCAGCAACAGTTTAAATCCAATACAATTAATTAATCGATTCAAGTTTACAATGTCGCTAGTTAGGAAACCCTTATCTATGCACAAATGTTCAGCATGTGGGACATCTATGCACCTCCTACCTGAACACACACAGTTTAAACTGGGATCTCTTTCCCATCTCATTCAGTGTAATGAAGCAATGGGAACCTCTTGAGGAACACGTTTAAGTCAGTGGTCTTAAGGTACAGTTTCAGTGTGTTTTCATACATTGGCATTTTCGGTGTATCGCGGCAGTTCGAGCAGTCACAGTCCAAAACATCTCTGATGTTCTCTGATAATCACATTACGCAATGTCTGTTTGCTCAGCATTGGTCTATCTAGCTCAATAACACTGTACAGAAAGACTGTTGTCTGCCATAACAGCATGAATGCCATCATGAAAATATGGTGTGAAGTATGCTCAAGAGATTAGCAGACGCCCAGTTTCGCTTCTTTCTCTATCTAGCTGAAGAACGTGACTTGGCTTTCAAAGCCTGTTCAAATAATAATAATAAAAAACAAACTTCTTTTGGAGATTAAAAATCCTTCAACTTTCCTAGTTGGTCTGTTCTAATCAGCTGTTCCTGTAATGAGAAAAACAGCACAAACAAAAACGAAGAACAATGTACACAAGCTCTGAGGGAGAGACTCAAGAGATCTTCTCCCAGAAAGCCAGCAATGAGATCAAAATGACATTTATTCTGACCTGTCAAATAAATAGATAGATGAATAAATAAATAAATAAAACCTTCATACAAAAACGGCATCATGCGGTGATAGGTAAGGTCACAGGCTGAACACATTCTTTTACACACTGCTTTAACTATTCATGGAATCTGGTCTTAGGAGGTTTTACGACCAATTCGGGTCAAGGTGAAGCTTTTGACCACTAACAAATAATTAATTAATAAATAAATATTTAGACAGAGGTCCTCACCAGATGCCATACTGAGGACAGACATACCTGCTTTCTGCATTCAGACTCTTTATGCTGGTTTTTCCGAGCCTCTATTGGCATATATTTTGTCTGTGTGTGTCTGAGTCAGTGTGTGTATTCCTAGCCGGTTAGAGATTGCCTACCAGGGAAAATCCTGTCATTCTCTTTAATGTTCTGTACTTGAACAACTATTTTAACAAGCAAACTGCTGCCTCAGCTGTTCAATAATGTATAATGTATTTGTCCAGCAATGAAGATAATCATGATGTATTCTCAACAACTCAAAACATGATTGAAAATGTGATTAATCGCTTAGTCTAAGTAATTAATCATGATTAAGAAAATCAATCAACTGACAGACATGCTATATAGCAGCTTTCCATATTTGAAGAGATGTCTAAAAAGCTCTAAATTTACAAATGCAGAGTCAAAACAAATTGTGAAAACCACTTAAAGAAAAGGCCAAAGGCTCGTATACAAAATCTTTTTATTTGATGAACATAGGGGTATAATTCCGTAAAAACAAAACCAACCAGTCTATTTCAAAGCACAAAAAAAATACTAAAAAGAATAGTTGAAGATAAAAATGGGCAAGTCTGAAACACACACGGCATGTTTCAGAAGGACTTTAACTTAAAGATGTCCCAAAATATAAATTAGAGATTGAGCATTGTTTATATATATACACTGTATATAGAGAGAAGGTCCACATAAATGCTACAGCAGAAGTGTTGGCACCATCACACCTGAGTGATGCCTTGTTAAATAGTCACTTAAACCTTGTGTACTTTCACAAAACACTATTACATACCTATGTAACATTCAAGGTCAAATGAGCTAACTAAATGCTTTTTCTTGATTTCAGTGATATTTTAATTCTGAATCAGGGAGGTAAAATAATGGGGGGGGGGGGAGCATGATTTTGTTTGACCGCTGTTTACAAACGCAGCACTTTAAAAGCACACATAAAAATATAGACATCTTACTGTGTTTGGGGTCGCTTGTGACCCAGCACTTTTTTTGGAAAATAAATGGCCATAAAACAATAATTTTAAGATATTCTGTTGTAAATTTGTTAATCTTGTTGAGGATGAAAAGTATGTGGCATATACTGGGAGCAGTGTAAATACCCAGGACATCCAGGACCCTAATGACTTGAGGTATATACACCAGGGTTAAATAGTGACATGCAGTGATGCTTCTGTTACCTGAGCACCAGGGGGCAAATATTTCAATTGACAGTTCAGGCATTTATGTGGCACTGAAATATGTGTTGCAGTACAGTCTGGTCCGACCCTATGTATAACCATTGCAGAATTGAACCTACAAAACCATTTAAAATATGTATATTAGCCTAAAAGATCAATTCGTAAATTTTACAGATCAAAATTGAATTGGACAAATTGTTAAAAATGATTAATTATGATATTTTTGCACACCCCTAATAAATCTCACAGCCTGTCATTTGCACTGGATTACATACGGTTTTGCTCAAAAAGCCTTATTTGGTTTAACCACTGAGTATAAGGCCACTTAAGCGTGACAACGAGAAACAGGGGCACAGCTTCAAAAGCGCACTGAAAAGGACCAGTTTGCTGAGCCAGCAGAGTCTGTTAACATGCTTCCTTCATTCAAGTCTTTTTTTTGCGGTTACTATTACCGCATTACTAACTGCTAACTGCTTCATTTCACCCACATCGGACGGCCGCCATATGTTTTTGTGTTCTCTCAGACGGTGACACAAAAGCAAGGGAAACAGGCTGACCACTGCTGCGTTGTATCTGGCACCTTCAATTCCTCTATTCCTCCCCTAAACGCCGGCACAGCAAGCAGCTGTCTGCCCATAAAGCTGAGCATCAGGGCACAACGCAGTCAAACAAAGTAATCAATATTTATCTACATTGAAGAGGCAACAAAGGCTCCTCTGTTTTGTCCTTTAAGTCACTGCCAAGAGAGCACACCATTCCAGCACATAAATGAAAGCTCATTTTACTGTCGCCTTTGCACGATACAAACAAATACCTCATTTATAAATATAAGGGTTAATCACTTTAAGCATAGTTGATATATAAATTTAAGACATATTCAGAAACTAGAACTACTTCTGTTAGTTAAGTTCAGCTATGCTCACTCAATCAGCCAGAGACAACAGGTCTCTTCCTCTTTCATCATGACAGTATCACCCACAGGCAGAATAAAGATGTTTCAAGAACTGCAGAATTAAGCCTTACTTAAAAAAAGAGAAAAGAAATAAAACCTACAGAACGAACCATACTAGAGCCTCTAAGTCACTGGCACAGTGCGGTGCATCAAAACAGTCAGCGTAATTCAGAGCACCTTCCCAGGACAGCTAAGCTGATTCCTGGCTGTCCGCGTTTCCACTATGGCGTGACAGGAATGAAAACTGAGGGCACACGACAGGCCACAGACCAAGCTGCAGTGCTGCAAGTAAAAGATCCATCAAGGGCAAACCTCACTGGTAAGACGAACCTAACACAATTCAGCTCTTAGCAAGTTACATTACTAAGTCAATTAGTAAGTACAGTAAAGATTCTCATTAATTTGGTTATTACCAAAAAATAAATGACTCAATGGAAAAGCCATGAAAATGACATGCAGGCTGTCAGAAAGATGTTTTTGCTTTCGCGGAGATGACAGGCCAAATGCAACGATACACGGTCCCTGTGCCAGAACTGCCCCCGGCTATTCCCAGAAGCCTGCGATCAGGATGCGGTTATGAGTCAGCCTGATTGCCGAGCACCCAGAGCCAGTAGGTGGACTTGCCACCTGTATCATGTTCTTCAGAGCCAGTCTGTGCTCAGGCTGAAATCTGTAAACGGCTGGTAGATTGCATTCCAAGAAAATTATGACATACCACAGACTTTGTGACTAAATCACCACAGAGTCACAACTAGATATACAGATTTGAAAGATGCCTATCCACCCTAGTCAGCCTGCCCCACTGGATACCAAACGGGATACAGGATACCAAAAATCAAAAAAAAAAAAAGAAAAGTTCACACACTAAACATACTACAGAAGTTTTTGCTTTATATTTGTTGCATAGTACCAACTATAAATTCCCTTAAATATCAGTACTAAAATGTCATTGTATATAAAGAACTCAGTGACAAATGATCTTTAACAAAAAAAAACAAAGGTAGCAGTTATATGACAGCCTTAACACATACATGAACTCCTCACCATTGTCCTAAAAACATCAAGATAAATATTTTGCAAACATTATGTCATTTATATATTTAATATTACGCAGCAACGCCCATGGCAGAGAAGGCCCTTTGTACAGAGTTCATTCCATAACAAGTTATCTGCTTCACGAGGTTCTAAATCCTTCTATGCTGGTAATTACTCAAGATCAAACTCCACGTCAGGATCACAGGCCACGTTATTCCACGTATGACCAGCCAGTACAAGGAAAGATCTGTGCGTCCGCGAAGACGGCGCCCGTTTGGCGTTTTCCTATCTTATCAACTGGAGGAACTGAAAATGACATCGCAAATATGAAATCACATGGTTCCTGTAAAGCATCGCATTTCTATCCATGTCTTGGACAGCTTTCATATTTTATTTGGAAGCAGTTCAGTTCAGGTTAGAGCATTAAGGGGACAATAATATATTCCCCCTTGAACTTACACCTGAGCGACTTCGGTGACACATTCAGCACCTGAAAGGTTATGCTTTAGTTCCTTAGACCTCTTTCATGGAGGACGGAAAAAAACCATAAATGATCCTGAAAGTCAGACAGCCGGGGGTGGTTTTTACTGCAGTGTCTCGGCGTAATACGGGGATTAACTGGTAAATGGGAAGATGTCTCTTAAATTTCCTGTGAATAAGCTCGTCGGGGAACGAATAAAGCGCTTCCTTTACCTTTAATCCAGGCGCATTTGCAGAGCCGTCCACATGACCGGGACTCGTTTCAAGAACTGTCCGCAAACCACGTAGACATCTCTCCATTTTAATTTGTATAAAATGTACTGACATTCAAACGTACACCCAGGGAAATTAACCTGGGGGTGACGTGATAGTTTTGTCATGTCAAAGTGTTACACTCCATGACGACTCAATTCTCGCCGTCCCGTCGCTGTATTAAATGCCTCGAATCAAGACATGCCAGAATATTCTAATTAAAAGAAACCGAACGTTTTAGAAAATTCTCAACTAAATAATACATTCACGCTGCCCGGCATTTAGGAGGTTCTACTGAAGATTTGAACAGATAGGGAACGTTATCTAGCTAAAGGCAGACCGAGGAAGAGGCTGAACCCCGACGAAGATCATTGACTCTCTCCCCATTGCATCAAGGAAAGTCCACAGCCTCGCAATCGGGCTGATTAACGACTGTCTCCGCTAGTGACTTCGCCCGGTCCACGCCAAGGAAATGCCCCAGGGGTGGACCAGCTTATGCTGCTGCCAAAAACAAGGAAGCGGCGCGGATAAACAAGTCAGCTGTTCTTGAGCAAGAAAAAACAGATAAACGAAAACATTCAGCAGACAGCTCGCTACGATGGCAAACAGGCAGCACTCCGACTACAGTTATTATAATGCGTATTCCAGCTACAACATCAACCTGAAAACAGTTGACTGCGAAACGATCGCAATCGAAATACGACAAAAAAAACTCGAAGAATTTAGTTGCGATATAAGAACAAAACAATAAACTCCAGTCTACAGCAAACGGCACTGATCAGCTACTTAAAGCGATGCTTGTCAAAACACAAAGTGACTGCTTACCACCTTAAGCTGGAAACGGATGTATAACTCCGTGACACCTCATACACTCGGCAGAGATATTAAGTGATTTTAATGTTTAATCGCTGTTCCACTTCCACAGTTCTCAGCAAATCCCCGTCGCATCCTCCGGCCCTCACTTCCGCCTTGTGAAGTCAGCTTCCGGGAACCGCCCACTTCCGGCCACTGAGACCCACTGATAGACAACCCAAACAACCAATAATATTGCAACATCTGGATTGAACCTCTCATTCATTGCTACTTCAATAACAGAGGCGATTATTCACTAGGTTGTGAAAGGAAGCACCGATATTGCAATGAAACATGGACAATTTGCATTGCCAGGGGCAATGATTAGCACTGTCTCCTCACTCCTCTTGGACCCGCGCTGTCTTCGGAGTGTTCATGTCTCCGCATGTCGTTATATTCTCCGGTTTAGTCCTAAAATGTTGCCATTATGATTATGTGCCCTGTGATTCCCTGCCATGCGCCCATAGGCTCCGGACCCCCTCATGAAAATGCATAGGTACAGCAGGTATAGAACATAGTTTTCACGTTTGTTTGTTTGGTAGATTGTCATTTGGTGGGTTTTCACTATTTTACGAGCTCTGAGACATTTCGGGCTGCCTTGGTCTGTGATTCTTACAGCCAGTTGACCCAGGAAGGGCTTGCTTTGAGATGACTAGTTTTAGCTTTGCAAAGCTCCATATTACAGTCTGTAAAGTTCTCTTTTGAAAGAAAGCACTCACATGTATTTTTCAGAACTTGGCACTGTACAATAGAAAACAAAAAGTCACACAGAACTGTATAAAACAAAAACAGCAAGATGGTAATACAAGAACAAAATCATGGAAACAATATTTTGTACCGTGGGAACCAAAAATACAACAATGCTGCAGCACTGCAATTGAAGAAATGCACACGATGATCACTTACATAGTTTTGGGAGTAATATTATTACAATGGGGAAACTATACATAATCCAGTTTGACCAACAAGACTAAAGCAACTGGAAATTATGACAAATGATGACAATTTTAAAAGACCATTTGCTTATACATTTGGAAATGTGTGTGAAGCAATGAGAAATGATGTTCAGCTTTGCACAGGTAACATCATGGTGTGGGGATTACACTAGTTGTTTTGCAAATGTTAATTGCCATTTAAGAAATGTGCCAAAGCCTTTGAGAAAAACTATAAGTAATACGATGGGCTGAGGGTAGAAGCTCCTTCTGAGCCTCTCAGTTCTCACTGCAACAATAGAGTGCCAGAACACAGCCTGATAAAAGTATAGTTGTTTGGGTGGGATATGTGTCTCTGCAGATTTTGGAAGCTGTACTCCTGTATCATCTGAGGTTTATGTCCTGCAGTTACCAAACCAGACTGTGCGTTAAGGCAAGAGCAATTTACAATAGTGCGGAAAAGTTGTCACTGGACCTCGTTATTAAACGTGCAAAATATCTTAGAAATAGGTTAATATTTTCAGGTTCCGCAACGTGATCGAAGTTTTCACCTGTCACATCAATGGGCAATATACACTATCCATGATCTATACTCATTAGTGTTGTGTGTGTGCACTTTCACAACATGATAATCACTACAAAATACCAACGTTCAGGTAACGCAAATTTTAACTGGGTATCAGCCATACACATACATTACATCGCTCTGTGGCTCTATACGTGCATTACGATTAATCACCTTACATATTTTTTTGTAATGTTGTCCCTGTATTGCCATTTTATTGTTTTTTACTATGTGACGTTTTAGTTTGCTATTGTACTGTGTTTTGAGATCTACAGAAGTTACTTGTGCATGTGAATGGTTTTTCTTGCCAGCAGGGGCGCCGTAAGGGGGAGGAAAGCTAGGACGATTCCAAGGGCCCCTGAGTGACAGGGGCCCTAAAAAATTAGGAAAATAACTGGATTGGTTTGGACTGGGGGGCCTAATATGATATGCTTTCATGGGGCCCAAAATCTCTAGCAACGCCCCTGCTTGCCAGTGAACTTTACATACTGTAATGCAGAACCTTGCAGTGTTGAAACTGGTGTGTTTGACACAAATGTTTTGGCATTCATCGCTGTTGTGTTTGTGCACTTTCACAACATAATAATCACTACAAAATAGCAACGTTCAGGTAACGCAGATTTTTACTGGGTATCAGCCATACACATACATTACGTCGCTCTGCAGCTCTACGTGCATTACGATTAATCACCTGTCACATCAATGCGCAGATCCACGCTACGTATCATCCATATTATAACGCAATGTAAAATTGTTCCTCAGTGCCACCAAAATGAAAAGTATTAAGCATGACCGTCAAAATGGTTAGATACACTATATTACCAAAAATATTGGGACACCTGAATTCAATGATTTGGAGGGGTGTCCCTATATTTTTGGTAAGACCCAGATGAATAAAGCGGTATAGATAATGGATAGTGTATATTGCCAGTATGTCAGTGTAAGCATGCTCCTGCGGTATAGATAATGGATAGTGTATATTGCCAGTATGTCAGTGTAAGCATGCTTCTGAGCGCCACATTTCTGAATGAGTCGTTTCCCACTTACTCATTGTCACTGACCGATTGTTAGGTTCTTGTATTAAATTGGAACAATTTTACATTGCGTTATGATATGGATGATACGTAGCGTGGATCTGCGCATTGATGTGACAGGTGAAAACTGAAAAATATTAACCTATTTCAAAGATATTTTGCACGTTTAATAACGAGGTCCAGTGACAACTTTTCCGCACTATTGGAAATTGCTATTGGAAATTTAGATTTTTTTTCACCCCACCCTACTGTGCGTGCCATAGTGAGGATGGTCTCTATAATGCTCCCAAGTAGAAGGTCTTAAGAATGATTGGTGAGACCTCGAACCTTTTCAGCTGCTTAAGATGGTACAGCTGATGTCTGGCTTTAGATACCTGAGTCTGTAAGTGATTTGACCAGATGAGGTCATCAGAGATACAGACTCGCAGATAGCTGAAAGTACTCACCTTCTGCGGCGAGTGCTGAAATTCCCTCGGGTATTGTTACAGCAAAAGGTAGGCATTGGGATAAATGATCTACTGTGATTTAGTTTGGTGCTTTGAATATGAATATTGCTAGTCCATGTGTGATGTTCCTCAAATCATTTGTGATACCAGAATTTAAAGTTTTTCTTGATTGCTTTGGAGCATTTCTCAAAGGACTGGGGGATTAGCTGAAAATGTGGAGCGCTCGCTTAGCATGCGAGAGGTAGCTGGATCAATGTCTGCATCATCCTGTTGGTTTTAGGTAGTGTGTGGCTAAGTGGGCTAAGCCTCTGGGCCTTGGATCAGAAGGTTGCTGGTTCAAGACTGGCCTTGACACATCTGCGGGTCCTTGAGCAAGGCCCTTAACCCCCAGCTCCCTGGGCACTGCAATGGATAGCTGCCCTACATAGCCAGCTTGCTCCCACCTACAGAGAGCAAGGGATTAATGAAGTGTTTTTTTATTATTATTATTATAAAAAAAAAAAAAGACAGTTAACATTTGCAACACATCAAGTGTAATCCCCAACCATAATGTTGCATCATTGTTTCATACAAATTTCCAAATGTTTTACTACATATATCCAAATGATTTTGTACAATTGTCATCATTTGGCACAATTTTCAGTTGCCTTAGTCTTGTTGGTCAAACTGGATTACGTAGTTTCCCATTGTAATGATTTTACACCCAAAACTATATATGTATGTGACCATCGTGTAACTCACCACAGGCAAAACGGTTAACCAAGCTGTCAAAGTGTTATATTCCATAAACTGCAATGATACAGCATTTTTGTACTTTTGGTTCCCACAATAATTTTTTTTGTCATTTTGTTGTTATTTTGCCATTTTCCTATTTTTGTGTTATACAGTGCTGTGTGACTGTTTTGTTTGCTATGGTACTGTGTCTTGAGATCTGAAGAAGTTACACGTGCATGTGAGTGCTTTCTCGTGCTAGTGAACTTCACGTACTGTAATGTAGAGCCTTGCAATGTTGAAACTGGCGTCTTTGTGACATGAATAAGTATCAGTTTGCTAAAGAAAAATGATCAGTTAGTGACACTGAGAAATGCTCTTACAGTCTTGATAATGTTAAGTATGTTTCATGAAATATGCCAAAGCAATCAAGAAAAACTGTAACATGTGAAAACACCAGTTATTAAATCCCACCCATCTTACATCCACATGTCTAGTACCGGGTTGGATGGGGGGGGCGTGGAACTGTCAAGCTGATATCAAGCAGACTGTCCGTTCAGTCACGCGCCGTCCAATCCTGCTCCGTCGCTCCGGAATATAAGCACACCTATTGCTCATCAGCTTGGCTAATTGGTATCATAAAAAAGCACCTTGCGTTTCAGTTACCCTTTGTGAAGAATAGAGGGTTCCACTTTACAGTAAGGCTACCCTTTGTGAAGAACTGAGGGTTCCACTTTACAGTAAGGCTACCCTTTGTGAAGAACTGAGGGTTCTTCTTTACAGTAAGGCTACCCTTTGTGAAGAACTGAGGGTTCCACTTTACAGTAAGGCTACCCTTTGT